GTGCACCGGACGGACTCTTGGCATCCAAGGATGTGGGAAATCATCTTGGAGATCCATACTCATCTCCCGGATCCAAGTTGGTTTGGGGGAGGGCAATAGTTGACCACGAAAACTGCAGGCTGCTTCTATCCAATCAGTCTTCACAATCTCCAAGCTCTCTCACGAAGAGATAGAAGAAAATAAGAACGTGTCACTAGCCAACCAACCAACCCACCAACCAACCCAACCCAACCCAACCCAACCCACCAACCAACCAACCAACATCAACCAACCACTGCCACTGCCACGCCACCAGTCCCTCCCGGCCTCGACTGTCGACATAGGGCGGTCGCGGAATCTCCAAGGGCACGGGCCGCACGGCACTCACCCGGCCTGGCCTGCGGCAGGGAGTCGGTCCCAGACACCACGCCCAGGTCAACCATCCGAACTGATCGGTCAATATGCAAGTTTGATGGAGTGTCTGGGCCCCGGGCATTCATATGGGTGTATCCATGTGTATCCCAATCTCCCAGGGCCCAGTGGATGATGATGCTCCCTTCAATCTCCCTCCGACTCCTGGGTCAGCGGTCTCCCCATCTGCCAACAATCGAGGACGTCCTTGCGGCCCAACCTCAGGGACATCCACCAAATCCGACACCAAATCGACTGCCCAAAGGCCCAAAGGCTCAACTTATACCACCATTCTGCCACTCTCACAACCCACGCACCATGGCGCAGCCACTCCTTTTGCTCTACGCGAGCAGCTGCACGGCGTCCCAAGGTGCTCCGACGGGCGCGGTGCTCGTGTGCTCCACCCGCACGGCGTGCGGAGCACCGCGTGTGCCTTGACCAGGGGGGTCTGGTGATCCAAACGACTCCCATCGGAAACAAGGACCTGACAAGAAGCGTCACCTGAAAAGCTTCTGAAGTGATATGAGCGACCGGCAATGAAGGTAACTAGACGACGGTTGGACCGAGAGCGAGACATGTGATTGTCCAGCACTGCCGAAAAGATATATAGAAAGAGAGAAAGAGAGGGCGGATGTGAAGGAGTGACAGTGTGGATGTGCAGGTGCGATTTAGATGTGCAGATGTACAGATGTGAGCGTGTCACTGTCACTCCTTTTGGGACACTCTATCTGGGACACTCTTGTGGGTCACTCTTGTAGGAAGCTCTTGCGGGGCACTCTTCTGGGTCTGCCCGCACACTGGCAGCAATCCTATCACACGATACCGCCAATCATCCCGCTCACCAGCGACACGCCGCGTTTACGCCAGCATGTTTCGCGCTCCCCAGTGGCACGGCGCCACGCAAACGCACTTTCCACCAAGGCCGCGCAAATCCCAATGGCACTGCGACATCACGGACGTAATTCGCCCTACGGTCTGCCCACACACTAGACAATCCTATCACACGATACCACAAATCATCCCGCTCACCAGCGACACGCCGCGTTTACGCCAGCCTGTTTCGCGCTCCCCAGTGGCACGGCGCCACGCAAACACACTTCCCACCCAGGCCGCGCAAATCCGCATGGCACTGCGACATCACGGACGTAATTCGCCACACGGTCTGCCCGCACACTAGCAGCAATCCTATCACACGATACCTCCAATCATCCCGCTCACCAGCGACACGCCGCGTTTACGCCAGCATGTTTCGCGCTCCCCAGTGGCACGGCGCCACGCAAACGCACTTTCCACCAAGGCCACGCAAATCCGCATCGCACTGCGACATCACGAACGTCACCAGACCTCTGAGTCCAGCTCCAAAAAGCTCTTTCCCGTGCTTCACTGGCCAGGTATGCGTCCAGCTCCAAAAAGCTCTTTCCCGTACTAATTTGTACTACAAGCTGGCCACTTTTGAGTCCAACTCCGAAAAGCTCTTTCCCGCACTGGATTTGTACTATACAAACTGGCCACTTCTGATATCTCACCTGCATTTCGCGCCTTTGACGCGCACGATCTCCGCACAGGGTTGCGCCGGACAAGTCCAACACGCAATCTCACCTGCGTTTCGCGCACCCGACACGCACGATCTCCGGAGAGGGTTGCCCGCGAAAAATCCAAAACGCAGTCTCACCTGCACTTCGCGCCCTCGACACGCACGATCTCCGCAGAGGGCTGCGCCGGATAGAGACAAAACGCACTCTCGCCTGCACTTCGCGCCCTCGACACGCACGATCTCCGCAGAGGGTCGCGCCGGACCGGGCCAAAACGCACTCTCGCCTGCATTTCGCGCCCTCGACAGGCACGATCTCCGCAGAGGGTTGCGCCGGACAGAGACAAAACGCGTGCCCTCGACACGCACGATCTCCGCAGAGGGTTACGTTTCGTGGTGCTCCGGCGGCACCGCCCCCGGCCTTAAGAGAGAAAGTAAAGAAGAGCGAGAGGTGAAGATGTGAGATGTAGATGTGAGGATGTGAAGATCAGCAGAGATGTAGATGAGAGAAAGTAAAGAAGAGCGAGAGGTGAAGATGTGAGATGTAGATGTGAGAATGTGAAGGTCAGCAGAGATGTGAAGATGAGCAAAGATATAGGTGAGAATGTAGATGTGCAGAGGTGAAGATATGAAGATGTAGATGAGACGTAGTTCTGCACATGTTTTCTTACGAAGAACCCTTCGCAGACGCTCTCGGGAAAAATGTTGATCGTTTCTACTGAGGCTGTTGTTTTTGGTTTTCCGGCTTCGTTTTCCAAGGAATTGCACCAGTTGGGCTACTATGCTCTGTTTGTTCACCAGGTGAGTTATATCACCACTAGACCTTTACAATGTGAAGTACAGCAAAGGAACTTCTTTAAAAACCTACCGGGACAGCAAAGGAACTTCTTACAGTACGGGGCATTTGAGGCAGGGTCTACAAAGGAAACCCTTGTGGATGTTGGCTTCGTTTGGGGCTTCGTTTTGGCTTCGTTTGGAGACCTGTTGTCTACCGGCTTGTCGGTGGGGACAGACACCTCAAAGTCTCCATTGGCCTCTTCGTGCTTGGGTTCTGCTCTTGTCAACACAGCAGGAATAAGCATGGATGGCGTCGTTGATGTATCATGATGTATCAAGAAATGTGTTCACTTCTTCATTTGTGTCGCAGCATGGCAGGGGTGAGGCTCAGCACCCCAAAATCTCCCAAAGTCTCACCACACCACCATTTTTGGCCAACCAGAACCATGATTAGTTCTTCACCAAGCTTACCCCTGAAAAATGACTCCTCTTCCTACTCTATATCACTGCTATGGGACCTCTCCCGCGACTGCCGTCGGAGGATTTGGACCCTCGAACCCCCGGCTCGTCAAAGCCGGCCGGTCGCCTGGTCGACCTCGAACTCGTTGGGACGACACCACATGGTGTCTTCCTTTGCGGCCCAAAGTGGGGGCAACGAAAAACCAACCAACAAACAATCCATACGGATGTATAGAAAGAGAGTGGTCTCAAAAATTTTGTCCCTCAAGAATTCGGAAAAGCAAGATGAACATGACTGTAATCCTCCCCTTGCCATGTCAAGTGTCCTCACTTGATGCTGCACAGATATGCCTGGATGTCCCTCAGAGCTTCTGTGCTGGGTAACAGTGGGTTCCTTCCAACCCATTTCCATGGTCCAAAAGAAGTGTATGGACTGGATGACTGGGTGAGTGACCGCAAATTGTAAACTTGGGCCCGGCCCAATGGGTATGTATGTAAAGAGGGACCCAACCAACCAATTGGATCTGGTTCTTCCCATGATTCAGTCAAAGTCATCGATATTCCGAAGAAGTCCGTCTAAGTCCGTCAAAAAGCACAGGGCTGGTCACCTGAAAAGACTCTTCTTCCACATGGACATCTACACAAATTGAGGAATAGAGCCGTCTTCCGACCTCACCATTGGGTTGCTGACTTTTTGCCATTGGCACCTTGGGATGCGCAGCTTGTGGTCTCTTCGCGGTCTCGGTGGAATCGTTGCGGTCATCTTCCCTCTCTTTCAAAGAGAACTGTCTTAAACAAAGGACTAGCACAACGAAGCTCGAAAAAGCTTACCTGAAGCTGCGAGGCGTTGGACTTGTCAGACTGGTCAAAGAGCTGAAGCTTCCATGGAGGCTCAGGAGCCGGCTCCTTGCCCGATCTCCGTGTTAGGCGTCCTTAAGTGTCCTAGTCAAACATCTGCATCCAGAAAAGGCACCCGGTCCAATCTTGGTCACAGAGTTCGGAATTGTCAAACTAGTCAAGGAGCTGCACCCTAGAAAGGCCGCTTGCCCGATTTCAGTCACGGAGTCCGGAATTATCAAGCTGGTCAAAGACCCACATCCAAAAAAGGCTGCGGTTGAAATCTTGGTCACGGAGTCTGGAATTGTCAAACTGGTCAAAGATCTGCACCCTAGAAAGGCCCCTCGCCCAATCTCGGTCACGGAGTCTGGAATTGTCAAGCTGGTCAAGGAGCTACATCCAGGGAAGGTCCGAATTCCGATCTTGTTCACAGAGTTTGGAATTGTCAAACTGGTCAAAGAGCTACAGCTTGCAAAGGCTCTTTGCCCAATCTTGGTCACGGAGTCAGGAATTGTCAGGCTGGTCAAGGAACTACATCCAGAGAAGGTCCGAATTCCAATCTTGTTCACAGAGTTTGGTATAGTCAAACTGCTCAAAGAGCTGCAGTCTTGAAAGGCTCTGTTTCCAGCATCGGTAGCAGAGATCGGAATGTTCAAGCTCGTCAAACATCTGCATCCAGAAAACGCACCCGGTCCAATCTTGGTTACAGAGTTCGGAATTGTCAAATTGGTCAAAGAGCCGCAGCCTAGAAACGCCCCCTGCCCAATTTCAGTCACGGAGTCCGGAATTATCAAGCTGGTCAAGGAGCTACATTCACTAAAGGCAAAGGATCCAATCTTGATCACAGAGTCTGGAATGGTCAAACTGGTCAAAGATCTGCAGCCTAGAAAGGCTCCTTCCTCAATCTCGGTCACAGAGTCTGGAATTGTCAAGCTGGTCACCAAGCCACATCTGGAAAAGGCCAACGACTGAATCTTGGTCAGAGAGGCTGGAATGTTCACACTGCTCAAAGCGCTGCGGTCAAGGAGTTACATCCACAAAAGGCTTCCTCTCCAATCATTCTCACAGAGTCTGGAATGGTCAGACTAGTCAAAGACCTGCAGCTTCTAAAAGCCGCTGGCCCAATCTTGGTCACGTCCGAAAGGTTCACCTGTCCCAGTCGGGCGCAGAAGATGAAGGCCTGGATGGGAATTTCTTGGACGCCTTCCGGGATGTTGACCATGAACAAATCCTCACAATCTCCACTCATCAGAGGGGCATCCATCAGTCTTGAACACTCCACTGAGCGGACCTTGATGTTCCAAAAAAAGAAAACAAGAAGGTCTTGAACGATTGAAGGGGCAAACAGCATCGACGGCCTCTTTTCAGAGATGTCTCAATCCCAATGAAACAGCACAAAATAGACCAACCCTGATAAAATCATGCATGATGACCGTGAAGCAATCTTGCAAAACCACATCTGGAGAAAGGCCTGCTTGCAGGACGGTCTGATCATTGTCAATCAGCTTGGTATCACCCTTCACCACATCGACCACTGACATCCTTTTCATCAACTCATCATCTTGCAGTTGTTTGAGCTGTCTCTTGAACTCCCCGATGGGACACGACCAGGAAAAGCTTCAACTATGATAACTCGCCCACCTGAAGCACATGGTGCCCATCCATGACGCTCATGCGGTCATGGGCGAAAAACAACCCAAACTGACAGTTTAAAGTAGACGTTTGATTAATTTAAACCCCCGCATAGGAAGAGGTTTTTGAATCCAATTGGGGATATTGGGGTGGGTTTATTAATCAAGAGTCTACATAGTAAATAAACACCCAGTTGCTCATCTGCTGCACTGGAATTCTCATCGTCGCTCCGGAATGTTCGGCCATTCTTTCGCGCTACTTGGCAACTGAAAAGGCTCTAGAATGCAACAAACAGTACGCACGCCGCCAAGTGGATTTGCTTTGGAATCGGGAGAAGCACCATGACAAACCACGCTGTTCCCTAGTCTATAGGAGCTTAAGCCAGCTGGAATTTGCAGAAAGCCTGTCCGCAAAGCACGTTCCATCGTTCCGTGTAGTGTGAACACCATCGCGTTTGGGGGTCAAATGCCTGGCCAGAACATGCCAGAAGACAAGAAGGGTTGCCGGCCCCGAAGCCTGCACATTCACAGTAAGCAAGGGTCCGAGTGTCTTGTGGGGATGGTCCGAGTGTCGCGCTTTCTGAGAAGGCTCCAACTGGTGCGAAGAAGTCACATTCTCTGGGAATGCAACCCGTTTCTCACCAGGAGATGGTGATTCAAACAGATTCATCTCCGGGATGTCCAAACAAAACCCCCCTCCTCGCAGTCCTGCGTCTTTTCCACGGCTTGCTCGCACAGCTGTGTCTCAGCCATCTTCGGCAAGGCCACCCACCCGGGTCCCAGCGAAGGGCCGGACCTGGTCGCCGCGACCTCGTCGGCGAGCTCCAGCGGCGCACCGCCCGCACGCAGGTCGCCGTCGCACGGTGTGGCTCAACTGCCGGGGCCCAGGCCCACGGCAAGGATGAAGCTCCAGATGGCGGCCAGGAGGAGGAAGTGGGACACGAGGAAGGTGAGAACAATGATGGCCACCGCCTAGCGAGAAGCTCACTCCGTCGAGCCGGGGTGTCTCCTTCGGGCGAAGGACGAGTCACGGCCATTCGAGCTGGTCAGTCCGAAGCGGCAGCAGATCGATCCGAAGTGGCTTCGAGATCATCTCAGCCTCCAGACCAGTCTGGTGTCCTTCTTTGAAAAACCGGTGCTGAGTCCGCCAAGATCCCAAGTGAGTCCAGCAAAACCTCTGAAACCTGGCCACATCTACTTGTGACACACAGCCACAGCCAAACCACCCTGCAGGGCCTGGGCCTGAAGCCCTTGGCCTGCCCCCTGCTCCCACCACCAGATGGATGTTGATTAAAGGAAAATAGACCAGTCGACTCCCCAAAGACCCCCTTGGTGCTCCAAGGGAAATAGACCAATCTATCCGTTGGGCCAAGGGATCTCTATTAAAACACACACCACCCAGATCCATCGCGCGCTCTTGCGCGCAACCGTCTCTTCCGTTGGGCCGTGCCTCGAGGCAGCGAAGCGCCACATCCCACAACTCCGCCCTTACGAGTCCCGCGAGTCTCAGCAGCTCCGTTCGAGCAGGGTCACAGCTGACCCGTGTGGCCAGGCCCAACAGTACACCTGAGGCCCAGTGATAGTGGGAAGCGGGAGGATACATGAACTTGTTCGGTGCTTTGGTCCGGCAAAAAGAGAGAGAAAGACCCCCAAGTTGCGGGAGGTTCAGACTGTTGGCAATATTATGGTTCTAGTGTAAGCGATTACAGTAAACCTACGCTCATCTGCCAGAAAAAATGCTTAAAAATAGAGAGAAAATCCGATGCCCAAGCTCAACGATGTTCAAAAAAGAAAAACTCACAGCCGGTTCCTCTGCAATATCAGGATGCTTGCAATGAACGGCTGGCTCCCAACAGAGATCTTCGCCCAAAGACCTGCTGACATGGTGACGAGCACCACCAGCTGCGTGCGAAGGAGGCACATGCGTCGCCGTGCGACCGCCAGGCTCGAGCTTTGCATCCAGGAAGCCATGGCTTGGGTCAGCGATGTTTAGTGGATGATATCAAACAATGTAGACGACAGGCTTGAAAAGCTACATAAATGGACGCTTAGGCTTAGGCTTAGACCTCCTTTTTGAGCACAAAGGACCAGTCGGATCGGAGGAACCAGTCGGATCCCAGCCCGTCCAAGTTGCGGCCAAGAATATGTTTGAAGACCGAACGTGGATGACATGGTAACTCTCAGGGAAATCTCCCTCCCCTTCGACTGACGAATTTGGATCATCTGTGGATTTGCCGCCTGGACCAAAACGGACCTGGGATGCGTTCGTCTCATTCACAAGTGCCTTTGGAATTTGGGTCACTGGTTTTGCCCTGCTTCCCTGAGTGTCAGATCAATGAAAGCCTATATCATCTCTAAATCTCTTTGTGAAACACCAGACTGACAAAAGAGCTGGCCAGTTGCTTCGAGTTTCACCAAATCCGAAGGTACCAACTAGCCAGTTGCCTGGCCACTCCAAACCCGGACGAACAGTCGCCGAGCTCCTTTGACCAAACCCAACCCCAGCGGCCCAGGCGCTGCTGGCCCCGCTGGTGGCTCGCCCTTCTCGGGTCGGTCGCTCACCTGAGTCGAACCCAAAGATCCCCCGGCCAGGCTGGCCAGGCTGGCCAGGCTGGGTTGAAGAAGGGGCCAGGCCCACAAGAAGAACTACATAGAGGTCTACGGAACGCAGGGTCGGGGAAGAGGCCAAGGAAGAACCTGCATTGGGTCGGGGGGGGGGGATAGGGTCGGAAGTGGAGAGAAACACTGCAGGCAGAGTCCTCAAACCCTTCGACGCCTTGACCAATCTTGGAATCAAGAAAACAGTGCCCGTCTAAAGTCGATGTGCTTGTAACCGGCGGTAGGTCAGACGCGTTGATGCCACTGGCTGCCACAGACGCGGTTCGGAGTGCATGACACGAGAGCGATCCAACCATATCCAACTGATCCTTCTTCGGGTTCTTCGACCACCTGGTGGTGGCACCCCTTTCATCACCACCTGGTGGTGTCTCCCCCCTCCACCAATGCACCGAACGATGAAACGCTCCGTCCGCGCCTCTCACGAAGGCGTGTCATGTGCCGCGACGCATCGGGCGCTACGTGGCCTCGCTGGCCTCGCACAGACTTCCGCGCAGACTGTGCGGAAAGGTGGGAAAGCAAGAGCTAGAGCTCCCTGCAGAGATAAACACGGTACAGTGGAGGGGTGAGTTTGTCGGGGGGGTTGTTTGTGAAAAGGGTTCAGCTTGTAGATTGTTTTGGTCATAAACTTCCTCACTGACTCCGGTGTTCACCTTTGGGGGATGGCAGGGTTATGGTAGAAAGGCCTAGCAGAGCAATTGTCTTTGCTGATCAGATTTCCTTGTTGGTCGGTGGGTTGGTAGCTTTTTTTGGTGTGTGTGTGTGTGTCTTGTTTTTGGTGTTTTCATTTGTTGATTTGACAGATTTCAGAACTGAAACCCGCTCTTTGTCAATGTCATCATATCATCAACAAACTCACTGTCTTTTATGTTCCGCATTAATCGTTTGAAAAACCCGCTTGGTTTGTTTGTAATTGTCGTGAGAAAAGTGTTGAAGAACCAATAACTCAGTAAAGTGTTTGTTGGTATCCGATGTTTCTTTATGGGTTTCGCAAATGAAGCTGACCTTTTGAAGCGTTCATTTCATCCAGTGCCACATCAAACATGAAATACTTCTAGGGTACATCAATAAGTCTTTACATGAGGTATGGCGATCTGTTGCACCAGATCCGATCTGTTAAGGCGACGTCTTCCAGGACCATGGCACCGTCTTTCCTTGAAGTGTCTTTTTTCAGGGGTTATGGTCCTCAACTTTAAAACGAAATATACCTGGACCTTCTTTCGGGGTGTCCTGTCTGGAGGTCCCTTAGTAGTGTAGGGGCTTCCAGCCAGGTGACCCCGACATGAAGGTGCTGGTATATAGCAAATCGATGCACATTGCAGCAATATATAGCAAGTCGCTCCACATACTAGAAGAACTGGGTAGAACACAACACCTCCATGCAATCCGCTCTGCGGCTAACCTTCTGCTCCACAGGTGGTCAAAGTCGCATTCTAGATGGGCGAAAAAGGGTGCCATCTCTTTAGGTCACAACACGGCAAAGGGTGTCAGGAGTATGGACTTACCAGCAGTTCCAGCGATGGCCTCCAACCTAACAGCGGTTGCTTTTTTGACGCCCAACGAAAACGGGTGATTTGCCATGTCAGCCATGATGTCACCAATTTTAACCCATGGACGGCAAGAACCACCAGACCATCTCTCTTGGATACTGCTTGTAATTGCAAACAAAAAAATCGATCAGGAGTCACCGGTTGCTTGAGGTGGGGGTGCTGTGGCTCGTCCCATCTGCCGTGGCCGTGGATGTGATGCGACTGTCTGCAGGGTCCCCTACCTCTCCCTCCTCTCCTCTTCTCTTCGGGACCGGCACCCAACTACATGTGACTCCCGGTTCATTCTAGAGAAAACAGGTGTCCCACTCTGAGCAGGGGAATGTGATGTCCATGTGACTCATGGTGGAGTAGAACTCCCTCCCAAGTGTCCCTTCATCCTGTGAAACTCCACCGAACTCCACCGAACTCGAACCCGCCGGAACCCGTCGAACCGGACGAACCGGGACGGTCGAACGGGACGAAGCGTGTCGGGTGCAGATGTTCCGGCGAGCCCGTCCGGGGGCGTGGAGGGGGTGGGTGCCCCTTAAGCACTTTCTGAGTTGGTTTCAAGTCACAAACCCCATTTTTTTTTAGTCAGTAGCTTGGTGTGTTCGATCATCCCCAAGTTTAGCATAAAAGCAAACATCGAACCACAAAACACCAACCAACCAACCAACCAAAGGCCACGCAGCGCGGCCGCCGGTCACTTTCACCAGAGTTCAGCCTGTTTGAAGCCCAAGCCACCCACCATTCTTCTGGCCACTCTTCTTGCCATTCTTCCGGCCACTCTTCTTGCCATTCTTCTGGCCATTCTTCTTGCCATTCTTCTGGCCACTCCTCCGCCCAGAAACCGCAGGTTTGGTTCATTCCAGGAGTTCCATATTGGGGTGCCGAACGAACTGGGAGGGCAGGAACTGCTCGTGATTCTCTCACTGGATGGGAACTAGAAACCGAAACTGCTGGTTGATCTTGAACTTCATGGATGAGTCCTCAATAGATGAGGATGAGCAAAGCCACACACCTCCGCACCTGAAGGCGCCTGTCACCTTGAAGGTCGTTGGGTGTGAGGTTCAAACGAAAAAAGACGAGGTCCCCTCCATCATCGAAAGCTGCCATCCTCGGCCTCCCGGCCACCGTCCCAGAACTTCACCGGCCACCGAGAGCTGTGTGCCACCGGCCAGGCCATGCCCCACACGGTGGGTGCCCCACAAACCGGTGAAGATCTGGCCCGTTGGAGTGGTGAGGAATCGCTCGTTTGAGGTGAGTGAACGAACCACTCCAAACGGTCGTCTCTTCCCTACTATACCTCTTTGTGGCTTCTGAGAAGAACAGTGGCACCGGGCACCTTCGTTATCATGGAAGAGAGTTTGAACGAACCCTTCTCTCGAACCAGTCGTCCAATGGGGTCGGTGCGACGTCCCCGTGGCAATCATACAAGGCAAACAAGTGACGTCAGAGAATTCAACAAAAGGAAGATTGATAGAACCACAAAAGCGGCTTCCTAGTGTGTGTTTTCCTTCATTAGCAGCGGTGTTCATCATTCATCACTGTTCTCGCTTAGTGTTTGACGTCATCACGCGTCGGCGTCTCCTACAATATTGACCTCCAATTGATGTTGCCCCTTCCCAATTAGAAAGCGTAGTTTCGTGTCTACACATTAGGTTGATGAGGGTTCATGCAAACCATTGGCTACTCCAAACACGGCCCTGGTCTTCACTCCCCATCGTCTCCTCTGGAGCGGAGGACGGCGCCGTCTCCGGAACGGAGGACGGCGGGGCCGATGCCAGGTCGCCCGCGAGGAAGCGCAGCTTCTTCAACAACACATTCCTTGGCGAAGCGCGGCGGAGCCACGAAGCGTGTCGGAGCCACGTTCTTGCGTGGCGTGGGACGTGCCGCAGGCCACGTTCTTGCGTGGGACATGTCGCAGAGTCTGGGTGGCCTTTTCTACATATATAATCATATATATATAGGTGACTGAGCAAGATTTGGAGTCCAGGATCTTCACTTTTTGAGTGTTGTTCCTTGGAATTCCCCAGTCGAGTACAGCATGCTGTATATATCTATGTATATATGATCGGTGACATTTGCCTTGGTCTCTTTTGGTCTTATATTGATGACTCCTACAGGGGATTGAGAGTAGATGGCAAATACCAAAAGGTGGTTTATATGGATCCTGGATCCCCATCTAAAAGGTATCTTGGGGGTTGTGCCATCTACTCTGAAACCACTGTAAATGCTTCCGGACGTTTATCGTGAATTCCTTGCTATGTCCCAGGCCCTCCATTCTGGAAGAGCTAAGAGCTTTGCCGCCGATGCTCGCTCCCACCCGGAGTTTTCACCGGTGCCCGTCCCCCCCATACTCGGCAGCTCCAAGCGTCAAGTCAGGGGGGTTGTCGCCACTAAAGTGGCCACTGCCATCCTCAAGCGGATCGCTTGTCCAGCCATGATGCTCCAAGACCTTGAGCAAAGTCTCAGCAGAGGAGCCTGTCCTCAGGAAGAAGCAATGGTGGGATCCGCTCCCAGAAGTGAATTTGTTCAAAAACTATTGGTGTCCAATTCAACTGCTATCTTGAGGAACTCTTGGCGCAAGATAAGATCTCTGATCTCTGATCTCCCTGCCATCTCTCGCCACGGGGAAAAAATCTAAGGACCAGCAGTCACATGTCGGGGTGCTATGCATGGAGGTTAGGGGTGCCCATTCTCCACTCACTTGGGGACTAAACACCGCCCAACTCTATGTGACTCCTGGGATGTTTAAATGTGCAGACTTCCCTTCAGCTCTCCAATGCTCAGAGGCCCCTCGTGATGGTTCATTCATCCGAATGGACCTGTGATGGTTCAGACAGGTCATGTAGAGTCATGCACCTGTCTTCACAGGCAGGAATCATTTCTCTTTGTCCTGTTGCAAACGGAATCTTTTTGATGCTGAATCTCTGGTGGTCACCTCTTTGGCGTCAGGTGCTATCCAGGTCGTCTGAGATGATCAGACACCCCGTCTGGTAATTAAGGGACCCGCGTGGTGCGGTGCGAAAGCGCGCGGTGGTTCACAGGATTCGTCAGCCAAAAAGATGGAAGAACAAAAAAAAGACGTCGAGCCAGTGGCCAGGACGAAGATCAGGGAAACACTCAAGGGAGACCACCAGCAGTCCGGCAGGAGAGTGACCGTCCCAACGATCAGCTGATCGCCCAGTGGCTCTTCAGAGCCGGGGAAGATCGCGATGTCGCGCAGCGACCCCACCGGCGAAATGCGAATGAAGCACTACAATGGCCTCCAACCTAATAGCGATGGCCTCCAACCTGGAAGTGCCAGACCATCTTTCAATTGGTCTGACTACATGACACGAATTCAGGACATGTCCATTGAATCGCTCCCCCAGAGCTCGTCAAAAGGCCCGACGGCCTGGGACTGCGGTTCCTTCCGCCCGAGCAGGAGACAACCCTTCAGGCTACTGAGAGCTGACCATCGACCGAGGCGGCCCAGTAACCATTGGGAGACCGGGCCGAGTCACGGGGAAGCAGGTCGCATTGAAACTGCTCCTACTGCGCCAGTCGATTCAGCAGGCCGCCGCTGGGTCGCCAGCTAGTTTCGTTTCGGTCCAAAGCTGATGACCCAGCCATGGTCATCATGGTCGGCGAGACCCATGGTGGAAGGCAGAAGTTGTGGCGGATTTGGAGACTCCATGTCTTCTGGAGTGAACGGGGGACCCGAAAAAATACCGCCCCGATGAATCAAGATCACATTGGGAAGGGGCATCGTCGGGGCCCCCGGGATTGGGACCCCAATGGGGGTCTTCGCGTGGATCGTGCACGAAGGTGTTCATCCAGTTCATCTTCCGCAGGCTCCGCCCATTCAGCTGGTGGTCGGAGCCATTTCCCCAAGACTGAACCCGCGGTGCTGAGGTTTCTGCCACATCATCCTCACTAGACGGAATTGTTCGAAACTTTCTCCATTGGAGATGCTAAAACCTCTCATCCACTCATCCTCTGAAGTTTGAGTCATCAACATCGAAACTCGCTGGTTTGCCCTCATTCGCAAGAAAAAAACATTAAACCAACATGCCAACTGCTCCAAGGATCAACTCCAAGCGGTTGAGGCCGACCTCCAGCTCCGACCTCGCGAGGGTTGGAGTGGACAGGCGAGTTGGGGTGCTTTGGGGTGATGGCTTTGGAGTGGTTGGGGTGGGAGTGGACAGAAAAAGAAAGAGTCTTCAGATGGAGCTCCAGCATAAAGAAGTCCAGCTAGGAGAATTAGGCAGCGACATGGTGACATGATGTGTCCAACCCAAAACCATGCGAGGGTCTTGAAATGATGTTCCATCTACGATCATCTACGCACAAACCAGCAGTCACTCTGTGCGAATGATTTTCTGCAAAGCCAGCGGACAAACCGTCGCATGTGTGACCCCAAAAAACTGCTATGAGTCTGGAGTATATACAGTACTGCATGTGACTGGCCGTGTCAGGTCATAGACAAGCAGACTAAGCCAACATATCGGAAGAAGAAGAAGGAGGAGAAGGAGAAGGAGAAGGAGAAGGAGAAGAAGTCGAGCTTCAAGAGCAAAACACACGAATGGATCCATTTCGATACCGCCTGAGCACTAAGTGCTCGACGCTTCACCCACTTAGCCTTTTTACGCACATCCCTTATTATTGCAACTTATTCCATGCCCAAAACCTGTCTTCACCGCCTCCGACCCCTCAACCCACATTGAAGCTCTGCCCCAGCTGCAGCCACTTCCTCTGCCACGCTCCGCCCAGCACCGCGCCCGCGCCCGCGCCGTGCACGCGTTGCAGGGCGCGCTGCAGCGCAGCGGCCTTCTCCGCGCAGCGCACGGCCTCGCCAAACAGCGAGGCACTCTGCCGGCGTCGCGCGCCCAAGACACCGCACCTGGGCAGTGTCTTGGTGGTGGGGCTTGAAGGGTTCACAAAAGCGGAACTGTTGGCAGGTCGGAGTGGAGAAGGGGGTTGGTGGGTGGGGTGAGGTAGATAGTTGCTTGTTTGGGCCTGTCATGCCATTGGGACGGGAACGAAACAGCAGAACTGTTTCGAGGCGGCCCATAGACCAACTTTTTTTGCACAATGTACAGTAGGTTGTTCAAAGGCACCACCCACTCTGTTCTCCATCAAAGAGTCATAAAGAGTCCATGTGTTCCATGCCAGTCAACTCCTTTTTGATCCTCATGACTCATAACTACTGGATTTCACCCCAGCATGATGGCACCCCATGCCATCACTTGAAAATGCCAGTCAACTCGGACACCGGGTGCTCCCGGACAAGTCACGCCCCCCTTTGCCGAGCTCGGCCACTCTGGAAAAACCACCCAAGTCGACCGAGTCGACCCCTACCCGGTAGGCCTCGTCTTGAGCTCCTCTTCGAGTGTAGTGACCTCGTTGTCTGTGGAAACGGGCAACCTCTTCTTAAGAAAAAGGACATCGTGATTTTTTCTTGAAGAGTCAGGGCCTAAGGGGCCCCTGCTGTGGCAGAAAAAGCTTGGACTTGGCTAGGTGCATACATCTCCATTCGCAGCTCTTTGATGTAAGAGGTCTTCTGAAGATTCTGACGGGTGGTCTTCGGCTGGGAAAGCACCCTCAATACCAGTCAACCCACCTCCACTCCCTGAATTCATCACGGATATCGAGGAAAGAAAAAAGGCTCCAAAAAAAAACAAAAACTGTCATGTCCGAAAATCTGCCAAACAGGTGGAGGTCAACTCCACGAAACCCTGGATGACTTGCAGTCTAGATCTGCTTGCAGTCGCCCCGCCTTCTCCGTGGCCACGGTGTAGCGCTTGGGCGCCAGCGTCGCCAGCGTCTCGGTCGGAGCCTTCGGGGCTTCCCGAGCCCGAAGCGGGAAGGGAAGCCTGGAGGTCAGTTGGACCTCATTTTTACTGGAGTTGATCATACAAAAACGCCACCAAATTGCTTTTCAGGGCCAGGTTGTAGGGGAAGTTGGATGGAAAAGTGATTTCACTTCTCTCAGAGATTCTCAGTCCCTGCCGTGAAAAGGGACCTACACCAGCTTCACGGTGCGGAAAAGGGGCATGGTACGAGATGTCCGAGATGGATGCCTTCGCAACCTGATTCACATCTGGAGATGTCTCTACTTTAGGGGAGTGTCAAAACACCCTGGCACCAGAGTCACACCACACCAATGGGTGTACAAGTAGCCCATTGATGGCCCGCTGCAAGTCAACGGCTTCACCGGCAAGGACTCAGGTTGTTTAAAAACGAAGAAAAAAAACACACATCCCCCCAAAACACGTCGGACTGGTTCGGCTCCGTCCCATCCAGTGAGTGGATGTGACTGACTGACGGCCGGGCACGGGGTTTTGGGTGAAACACCCAACTCCGTCCTCGGTTCGGAACCGGCGCCCGACTCCATGGAACTGCTGGCCCCTCTCTTCCATGGAAAATTGGACCAAAAAAAACAAACCACGGACCTCAAAGGGAGGAGATCTAAGGGGATCAAACCACCAACCGTCCACAAAACCTTAGAGAGTGACGAGATCATTTTGGAGAGTCAATGGTTAAAAAAAGAGTTACCAAGACAAAATCAAATACATTCTACCTGGGCCCCCCTTTCTTAAGGGGTGTCTCATCATAGCTCCTTATCAAGAGGTGTCGCACGGGGTGTCCATTTTCACCACCCCTGGCACCGGGGGCCTTGGGCCCCTTGGTCGTTTTCAGTAGAGAGGTCCCTCAAACTGTCAAGCAACAGGTGTGTACCCCTCACGTCTCGGAACTGGAACCGTGGACCCGGTCGCCGCGTCTTCGGTCGAAGTGGTGACAAAAACTGGACCTTCAAGGGGTGTCCTGTCTGGTGGGGGGCTTCCATTGGTGACCCCTTTGAAGGTGCTGCTAGAAAAGAAAAAACACCCTCGCCCCCCCCCCCGCCCCCATTCCGCCCCACGAGTTCTTGATCTCTGGCTGGTTGGCGCCCCAACCACTCCTCGCTCGGTTCCCACGGTCGCCGCTCTGGTCGCGGCGCCGCCTCGTCCTTCGCGCGCGCGACCTTGGATGGATCGAAGGTCTGCGCCTTCCGCTCGCGGCGCTTCACCTCACACCGGACGTCGGTCCGGCGTCGGTTCCGCTGAGCTCACCCGGTCGGGTCTTGGAGAGCTCGGTGAGTGGAAAAGCTCCGAGCAAAAACCGAGGTCAATGGCGCTCGGTTCGCTCTTCTTTCAGTGCGTCAAAAGCTCTTGGTCTCGTGATTGGCGATGTCTGCCACTCGATCGAATGCCGCGGATGACTCTCGCCAGCACGGTCCAGAAAGCCGATGCGAAGGAACCAAAGAGAAAGGAAATGCATGGAAATGCCTGAGGTCACCATAGGTCAGACCATTCAAAGTGAGTTGACTGGACTTCGTAGGACAAAGTGCTTGTTCTGAACATGTCGAACGAAGAGTTTGAAAACAATGATGTATGTATGAGTAAATAGTAAACAAACCATCAAACTATATACCAACATGAAGTCTACTTCAGGCCAAGTCCGAGCCAGGATCCCTAGACCTTGTCACCGTCACCCAAGTCTGCTCCCGCTGGGCACCTTCTGGAGAACCTCTCCCTCTGCGCTTTCACCCCCCCAGCCGCTCATCGCATTCATCCACTTCGAACGCCACGCGTAAGCCACTCTTCGGCATGGCCGGTTGGAGCCGTGGTCGGAGTCGCCGCACTCTGCACTCCACGAGGTTCCCAACAGTGGAACTTGGGACCGCGGTTCTGCATCTGTTTTGTTTGGTGGGTTTTCAGGTCAGGGCTCGCGTGGAGGACAGGGCTCCAGTGATTTGCATGGATCAACTATGGTGCATGGTTGGCTGAAATCGTCATCCTGAATAGCATCTGGAAGCCGGAACCAACAATTGAATTCTGACACTCCAGGATGCCAAAACCAGCGTCCACTTCAACATGAATCTCACCAAAAGAATGCAAATTGATGGCAGCTCTCTTGACAAAACGTCCAGGAAATGCTTGGGAAACGAAAGGTCGGAAGCTGCCAAACCTCTCCTGTCGCTTGAGACTGAAGCTTCGAGATGCAGCGCCAAGATGGAATAGTAATGTGGACTTGGGTATATATATATATATATATATCCCAGTGGATGATGATGGTTAGAGTTGCTGACTGGTGATTAATAAACCCTCCCATATGAAGAGATTGTCCTGTCGAAGAATCCTGAGAAACGTCGATGGTCAGCTCCAAGCTGAGTGGTCTTTGCCAAGGGGTTTCGAGATCCCCAAAGAACTGCTGGAAGCTTCTGACTGGGCATGCTGAGCTAAGTTTATGAGTTTTTTCCCCTGTTCAACCAACAGTACAAGAGTGTGTACAAGGAACAGTTATATTTATATAAGATTAGCTACTTCGCATCTTCAATGCAGTTCTGCATGCCACTGCTTGGAAGATCGATCACGATCGTTTTTCTTTAAGATGGTCCAGAATCAAGCACACCACCTGGCAGTTCCCTCCCCACGTTGCCAGGCCAGGCCCAGCCACCGACCCAGCGACGATCTCCGAAGGAGTCTCCCCCCGGACGGAAGTCCGCCTCACTGGCGCTCTGGCAGAGAGAGCCGCCAGGGCGCTGACGGCCCCAAGCCCAGAAGCAGCCCAGCTGCCGCGCCTGGATGACCGAGTCGAGTTGACCAGTCGCTGGACAGGGGGGGAAAAACAGACGGCCCCAAGCTGTCTGGGCTCAGCAGTACAGTTGTGAGGCCTATAGCGGCCTATAGCCCCCAAAAAAACACCAGTGTCCCAAGGAATTCCTCAGCCCCTATGGCCACCAGAATGATCTCATGATCTTCCACCGCTTCCCACCCCACTGCGCTGACTCCGACTCCGCGACTCGTCGAGCCTCCGGCCGTCACGGTGCCATACCGAGGGCGCGGTCAGCGGTCGCGGTGGCGTGCGATGTGCGACGCCTCGCAGGTCCGTAACGCCCCCATCACCGTGGCAGAGTGCAGAACACCTGGGATGATGTTTTGTCTCTTTTTTGAGAGGATGAATCATCCCAAGTGATCCCAAGTGTATGTGTATTTTACAGATCGAACTCGCTTCTAGGCAGAAGGGAGGTGGTCTACAGCAACCAATACCTTTCTCCAGGCCCCTAGAGGTCACCCAATTGCTGGAGGACGGAGTCCGTCCCTCTGTGGTCTTTGGGCGTGGAGAACGAAGGAACTGCTCGTGGCTTTTTTCCCACAGGGATTGATTCCCAGAATTGGTTCCATGGAACATCTACCGGAAAGCCATATCTTCTTTTTGGTTTCGAAAACTAAGGTTCTCCCACCGATCTTCGCAGCTATTCCCTGCTGCACGCGGCGCAGGCGTTCCAACTACAGGAAGGCAGTTGCACCCGCCCACCACCCAATTTGCGCCACTCCAAAGCCCCGGAAACTCAGGCGGTGAGAGGGTCCGCCTGAAGTGGACACTCTCTTGGGATGAAGTGGTGCCGAACGAAACTCCGTGTAGGATATGTCGGACGATCACCCGGATCGGCCCCCGGATCGGTCGGTGTTTGACCCCGGGGCGAATGCACCCGTCCCATGTGCAGTGCAGCGCTCCACCGCGCGGCGCGGCGCGTCTCTCCGACGCCGGGGGGCCCATTCACTGCACCACCGAAACCAAAAAACGCCTTCCGAACCATCCAACCCTCCAACAAAATGGTGCGCGTGTTTTTGTTGATCCATCAACCGTATCGGCTTTTGGTGTTTGACTGCCGGCGTTTGCGAACCCGGGAGCCTTCCCCGGAGAACGTGGCTCGCGGCAGCGTGGGATAGGCTGCCATGGGGATGTGGGTCCGACAAAAGGCCGCCCAGGTTCCAACAGATTGGGGTTCCAATGGTTTGAGGTCAAGTAGCCAAGGTTTGGCGTTCTTTCAGGCGAAATCGTTGAGAACAAGGGGCTTCTGCTCAGCAAATGTGATGGTGGCTCCTGCCGTTGGATGCTGCTAGCTGCTAGATACGTGAGATTCAGATTTGCTTGCCAGAATTGATACCACCGTCTTTGATGCGGCTGATATGATCTATTGGGAGACCACTGAGTGGATGGGGGTTAGCCCAAGGGCTTGGCTTTCTCAAGTTGTTCTTAGGATCCTCAACAAGGTGTTCTACAGCGGGTCTTCAATGTTACCCGCCCATGGTAGCCACGTTTACTAGGTCGCTTGAATGCATGCCTTTCTTTCCGTGAACTCGCCAGTTGGTTGCTCTGCTTGACCAGAACGCACTTGCTTGCTGAAATCATAAAGTAACTTGATCCTCTAACAGGTCGAAAGCAACAAAAAGTTTGACTGACTGACTACTACAAACCTGTCCATTGTTCGACTCCAAACCCCTGGTCATGCGGGCGTTTTTCCACCACTGGCAGGTGCTTTGGTTGAAATCCGCTGGGAACCCCGGCCCACCGACCCCAAAAAAGGACGGTACCGGTCTGTGGTTTGCACCTGGTGTCGGTCCTTCACGTTCAATGCTGGGGGCCGAGCTGCTCCTCCCACCCCCGGTGTGGGCTGCGAGCAGCGTGCTTGAAGCCCCTTCTTTGAGAACGGCCCGTAGGTGTTCCCAAAAAATAAAGGCTTTCCCAACGAAAATTGGGTTTCTCGTATAAAACACTCTTCCCCACAATGGAATCCACCCGGAATCGGACCGAAGCTGTCCTTTTTGCACAAAGCTGTGGATGCACAATCTGCTTTCAGATCGCGCCTTCGAAGACTCGAAAAATGCTGAGGGGCGCCATGCTGGCTTCTGTTTCCAATCATTGGGCCGAAAGGAAAAAGGCTGCATGCTACCAGGGGCCTCGGTTTTGGGGTGTCTAGATAATAGCCCCTTAAAGGTTAAGGGGTGTTCAGTAACCACCCCTTGTGTGGTATAGGTTCTACTGATTCTGGAAAACGACCTCGCAGCCCTTACGTGGAACCTTCAAATGGCGCCCTCTCATCCTATCAACATGCTCTGCTCAACCGGCAGACACCAAGAATTCAAATGTCCGGTACGCCCCATCTCCTTCAGAAGGAAGGCCATGGCGCACGTCCTCATCTTCGCGAATCGAAACAAACCGAGTGCAGCCTCCTGGTGCCATGGTCCAAAACTCCTGATGTTGCGGGACTGGTCATTTTGCATCATTTTGCCATATGGGTGTGTATGAAAATAGGGAGACCTCCCATTTCGACCCCCTTGGAAGAAGGGAAATAGACCAAAACCCATGGATCGGGGCTCTCCCCATTAAAATAGACACTTAAATTTTGACCCTTGCCTTACCTTACCAACTCCCCGATCGAGGGTTGCCCTTTTCCTGTGGATGAAAAAAACATCTCTTTGATAACTCTTTTTCCAGCGGTGCAAACCGACACGCACCTATGGCAAGAACTGAGGTGATCACCACCGCATTCCCCCAGAAATTATGTTTTTGTGCGAACACGGTTCGATGATGATGGCGATCCTGCAAGGGTTTTCCCGCGTGGACCCGGTTTTCCTGGGTGGAATCCGCGTCCGTGAAACATGGACCGGATGAAAATGGACCCAAATGCTGGCTGAACCTGGAGGGAAAAACAACCAGAGTGGCCCCATCCTTGTGCTTCTCACTAGCTGCTTATCATCATTGATCAACCTGTTTTGAGGCAGACCATGGGTACCCTACCACTTTTGGGGTCCGCGACACTACCCGAAGATGACGATCGACTCTACAGGAAGGCATGGCCAGACGCAGCTCCCCTTGGGATGACGACATTTTGGTGCAGGAGGTGCGCATGCAGAACGATTGACTTACTCTTTTGGACATCAGATTTTGACCAGACTCACAACTAGGCTTTTGGACCTCAAACCTGTAAGCATGTGGGTTCAGGTCCAAGGTCCCAACTCTTTGGGAGAAGGCGCTCAATCCCTTGAGAAGACGCAGGAATCTGACACGACGCAGTCGGCCACGGGCTCTGCTCCAGACGGCTGCGACGACGAACGACCGACGACCCAGGTCGGCCATTCTTTCTCCAAAAGGTTGAGGCGAAGCATCGAAAACCACCAACCCGAGGTGAAAACCGTTTGGAAGGACTGAACATGAACCGAGTCTAAACCTGAGTGGTTGACCAATTTTTGATCAAGGATCAGGGATCAGAACCGCGACAGTCGTAGGACATACGACATACGGCCCAATACCCAATACCCTACGCAAATCCGTGGATCTTTTTCAGTGTTTCTTGGTATGGAAAGCACTCGCGCACCGTCCACAGGACCACCACTGCAGCTCCCACGGCTCGGCGCCGACTGAGCCACCCTGGCAGAAGGGGAGCTTGACCTCTGGCCTTGGCAGAGCGGGCCGTGAAACCAAGCTGTGGAGAATCAACTAGGGCTGGGTCACAGTCCTAGGCAGTTCACCTCAAAACAGTGAAACTGACCATGCGACCATGTGCGGCCCACTGCGGCCCTGCTGAAGCCAAGCCCAAGCCCGTTCTGAATGGGCAAAGACTCCGGAAAAAAAGAAAAAAAAACTTCATCGCCATGAGAATCACCGACCCATGAGATCTTATAACATTCAACGTGGATTCTTACAACACCACACGTAGATCCCGGTCGGTCCACCGTAAGCGCTTCTTCCAGAGCTGGCCGCGAGCGGCCGCGAGCGGCCGCGAGCGGCTGTCGGTCTGTGGTCCCCAGGCGTCTTGGGCAATTTGCCCTTGGCCTCCGGCGCCCGTCCAGTTCACAAGGCTTTTTGGGACACTGGGGATTGCTCTCTATGTCTTGAAAGGCAGGGATTACGTGTGTTCTGAACGGAATGTGTTGAAAAACATACCAGGACCCACGGCCGGGCTCCTTTTTTGGACACCCCTGAACCTCTTTTCAGGGCGATGAATAGAAGCCCCATGTCTGGAGGTCCTGGTGCACCAGGCGGTCGAAGAGCATCAGCTGAAGAAAACCTATCGGGTTCCGATGTTCTCAGAGTCTCCCAAGACCTGAGACTCGGATTCTTTTGAAAGAGGTGTTGTACACTCTGAAGCTCATCACATGGTTACGTGGACGGCATGGTCCCAAGACAAAGACTACGACTGTCCTTTACAAACGGGGGCTTTTCGAAGAACCCATGTTAGTGAGTCGGAGTGTATTCTAAAAGGGAAGGGGCCCAATGGGTCAACTGGTCTATGACCCTTCAGGAGGTGGGGACGCCTGGGAGGTCTCCCTAGTTGAGCTACACCACTTAAACTCAAACTTCGGAGACCCTCAGTAGCAGCCATGCCTGTCATACACCTGGTGCTACTGTGCCCCACTGGACCTTTCGGTCCCTTAGAAATCAGCAGACACAAAGATATCTTCCAAACACCTCATTCCCCTGAAAGCGGATGTGATTGTTCCACACCCATCCCCAAAACGAAGTAGCCTTGATCGCCACCAACCCCAAGGGAACAGGACATTGGACCACGAGTGGGTGATGGGGTACAACGGCAGTGCCTCGACGAAACATCGTGGGTCCCTCGCCACCAAATAGAAGCTTTTCACCACCATTTTATGCGGTTTTGGTAGGTCACTTCCTCATTTCTTCGAGTTGGAGGCCAAGCAAATTCCTCCTCTCAACCATCCCCCAACAAAACCCCAAATTCCTCCCCTCACAGGCCCCTCACTGCGCTGTCGCCGACCCAAGGGCCCGCCTCCTCGATCAACTTCTGCGCCCGTTCCTTTGCAGCCTCCAACCACATGGCTGTGGGTCATGGCACCAGGATACCCAATGGCACGAAAAGAAGGTGGTTGAGGTCGGTGGGTGCCAGGGGGGTCTCCTACCTTCTGAGGATGTGGGCCCGGAGCCTATCTGGGTATCGACTTCCCACTCAGCGCGGTTTTGGTGTGGGAAATCCCTTCGATCTGAGCTACTTTCAGTGGGGTGAGCTACTTTCAGCGTGCACATCGAAGGTACTACACAAGGTACTCCCATGATCGTCGTTCCCAGAACCCAAGCAGCCCAAGCAGCCTTGAACAGGGGTGATGGGTGGTCCAAAATAGAGGTCATTCAGGTTCTAGGTTGATACAGATTAGAAACTCGAAAACACTTCTCTTTCTGTCTCTCTCTCTCAATCAAGGAACAGACCACAGTCATGAACCCAAGTGTATTTTACAGGATCAGCTCTAATAGCACTAACTATCTAGCTAACCCTGCTAGTCCGGTAAGCGTAACTTTTGTACTCTACCTTGAGAGTCCACGCTACGGGGTCCATGGGATGAGGGGAATTTCAACGCCCCCCTTTACAAGGAGCTACCCGTAGGGAAAATCTCGGGAGGATCAAATTCTAGCGACGAAGGAATCATATTAGAAATCCCTCATCAAGCTTGTGCATGCACTATACAAGGAGAACGTGGCTACCCTAGTGTACGACCTTCCGGCTCACACGGCATGTGGTTAGACATGCTAGACCCAGTTCTAAATAGGGCATTGATTAAAAGTTCACTCTCCGACTAACGCAATCCGGTTAAGGATGCAATTGGAAGTGAGACAATGAAGTGAAACATCATCTCACAGCGCGTCAGAAGGTGACCTTCACCTCAACACTCATAAGCTGCATGTCATACCAGTTATGGTAGCTGTTCAACATAGTCTCAATAGTGTCTGTAACCAAAACGCTCCGTTTCATCATGCCAACCATGTTCCATCCATTGTCGAAGCTCCATGTGATTGGGCCAATAGTTGTCAGCCCATGGATCTGTACGCTGCCATTGTACCCCAGGAAAATCAAAAGGTTCCAATGGTCGCTCATCCGTGCCTTGAACTGTAGGCTGCCCAGTTACGGGAGCATTCGAGGATGATGCCGAAGTTGATGGAGCTCCGGGTGGCAATGGTGGCGGTGGTACATTTTGTAAATTCCACGGCCGCGAATCATAAGGGCCTCCTCGTAAGTTCGCCTGCTGCTTGCTCTTGCCCTTTCCTTTTACGGAAGGTTGCAATCTGTTGTAAAGATCTGTAAGCGGCGGCTTTGGCGTAAGATTGAAATCCGTTGGCCGGGTATGCGCTGGTATGCCGCTTGTGGTACTGGAAATGTCTGGTGGCGGAACTTTTGGAGGAGGGACTTTTGGTGGTGGAACCTTCGGTGGTGAAGGTTTTGCTGGTGGTGGCATTGGAGCTTGTTTCACCGGTACAGGTGGTGGGTTGCTTGGTGGCTTTGGGATTTGTGGTTTTGCCGGTGGAACGGGCGGTGGAGTGTGCAGTGGAGGGCCTAAAAGGTCCTTCGGGATGTTGCCTCTTCTGGGCGCTCTGTCCTCAGGGAGGAAAGACATTGCACGGCCGACTGAACCACATGGCATCCCTTTTAGGGGAGCTTTGGGTCCTTTTGCAGAAGAACTGCCTTGGCCCTTGCCCTTGTCGGCAACACTCTGATCTGCACTGACGTTCCGTTTAGGGAAGTCCTCCTTTGGCGACGCTGGTCCTTGAGCACGAGGTTGAGGCGGCTTGTACACTGACGATGTGTGCGTCCCAGTTACGGGAGCAGGTGGTCGCGGTACGCCTGGCGGAGGAATTCGGTCGTCAGTCCATGACGCGATACGACCCGACTGATCACGATCTTCTTTCTTCCTCCACTGTAACCTCGGTCTCTTGTCAGCATCGGCAACACCTTCAATGTACGACTGCGAACGCTTCCGAGTCAACGGCGGCCTATTTACAGGCGCTTGAGGAGTTGGAGAATCTCGCTGGCCAAATTCCAGCAAAAGCTGTTCCAACCGCAAAACTTCATAGGAAGTCATGCCCTGACCGCAGTCAGCAAATTTTGGGATAGGTGTTGACATGCGTTGTTCAATGTTCATAAATCCCATTTGCCCAATCGACTGCCCGCGGTCGCGTTCCTGCATGTTGACGGACTGCTGGGCATTCCGCTGGTACTGAATATTGGCATAGTTTTCATTCTGTTCCGCAAATTTGCTCAAAATCTTGTAAATGCCCATCGTGTCTCCACGAGGTATGCGGATAGAATGAATGTCGCCGTAGACGTCGTCGGTGGGGATAAAGCCCTGGATTCTGATTTCGTCTCGGCTATTGCCAATTACGGCAGCGAATTGTCGAAGGGACAAAAACTCTCGACGATAGCTAACCAAGAAGTTCTCGTCGACACCTTGCTTGAAGCAGGTATGGAGGTTGTCAACGCCGCATCGAATGTACGCGAGCTTGGCGAGGTCAACCCTGTCTTGGCGATCCAAATCACTGACAACTGACTTCCCTTTTGATCTCTGCTTGGCGGATCGTGAGGGTGCTGGTAGTTGCAGTGACGCAAACAAGTCTTCCTGTGCCGCATCAAATGCGGTGCATCCCTCTCCGGTTAAGGAGGTGGCGAAGACATCGTCGCGATTGAATCGGTCGTAGACATTCTCATACCCTGCCTTCAATGCTCTGCGAAGACGGCCTCGAGCAGAAAGGATAATCTGACTGTCAACCGAGGGGTTGCCACGAGCGGGAGGACGACCGGACTGCAAGTCCTGTGCGGCAATGCTGTCAAGCATGCTCGTAGCCGTCATGTTGGTAGGAACGCCCCCCTGCTGTTGCACCGCCTTTGCACGTCGCATTTGCAACCTCATAAACTTAGAAATAGGACCGTCAGCTGTACCACCCTGAAAGACTGCTGCGCATCTGTGGCATGACGCCATTCCGGCTAAGGAAAGCGTTGTGCACTTGTCGCAACTGAACGTGCGGAGATGGAGGAAGTACCCGCTCTCAATTTGAGGAACTGCGGTATCATGGTTCGCCTCCATGGCCTCCTTCTTGATGGCACTGCTTGCGGCTGTGCGCTCCTCGGGTGTAGTTTCATTCGTGCCCTCCAAGACGGTACGCACTTCTGCAACTTCGCCCGGGATCAAACTGACATCGTCCTGTGGCGCCCCAACTTCCATGTTCGCTGGATCCATAGCCCGTGGACTCTCAAGGTAGAGTACAAAAGGTACGCTTACCGGACTAGCAGGGTTAGCTAGATAGTTAGTGCTATCAGAGCTGATCCTGTAAAATACACCAAGAAAACTATGCTTATTGGAGAAATCAGAGCTCTACTATATATGCTCTACCTCTTCATCCGTGTGAGTTTGATGAGTTTGCAGCTTTTGGAACCAAAGGGAATTTGCCCCGTTTGGAAGCCTTGACGGCCGGCGTGTCCGAGGACAGGGCACGCCGGGTCGCATGCACCGGATCTGTCGCTGTGTCAGAATCATGGCCAAGCAAGAAACCCTTCGAGAACTTTTTGTCCTGTGCAAGTCCACTCATCCCCCCCAGAAATCACTGGAATTCCAAGCGGGGGGTTGTGTTTTTGGTCCCGTTCCGGAAGAACCCCAAAACATCCCGGTCCGGAAAACGCACCCACAACCATCGGACCGGGCGCCTGTCCCACTTTGGAGGTTGCCTCCTCCACGGCGCCCGACACCCTGAGTCTGGCCGGTCGCCGAGTCGCTTGGATCTTGAAGTCTTCGTAGAGCAGATCGAGCGATCGAGTTCTTCAGTGGAAAAAAAATATGAAAAGGGGATTTTGGTTGAAAGAAGGTTAAGGTCGCCCGATTCCCGTGAAAAGGTTTTGCAGGTGATCACTGACTCGGTGGGAAAGGGAGTCACACCGCGATGGGGAGTTTGGAGAAGGATGGAAAAAGCTTTCTGGAATCAGTGTTGAACGGCGGAACTGAGGAATCTCATGAAGAGACGAAGAAGACTTTCACATTCGAATTACCACACTCTCTATCTTGCCGTTTCCCGATGCCTTGGGAGTTCAAAGACTATTTAAAAATAGTGGTCTATATAGGGGACCCAATTTCAGGAATGTCCTTCATCAAGGAAGAAGTATAGTCGTTGGACTTCTAGGGGATGCCAGCCGGTCGGATTATGAATCTGCTACCGCTTTCGCACTTCTGCCAGAAGCCTTGGACTCAGATGTTCTCCTACAACCATGGGATCCAACTCAGTCCGAACACCTTGACATACCCACCTAGCTGCGCCCCCCTCTCACGTGGCTCAATCACTCACTGATCTGAACAGCTGACCTACGGACCTAGCCACGCATGACCCGGGCAAGACCCGAGGAAAACACCACCAACGAACTGGAGCTCTTGCGACCCCGTGTTGCTGTCGCCCTCGGCTTCCTTGGCTCGCTCGGCTTGCCCCCATGTCGATGCTGGTGGCATCGGCTGGTCGCATCGCTGGGTCCGCACCCCTTGTCTCGAACGCGGCGGTCTTCCCACGAAGGCCGCCCCATCGGCCTGGTGGGAACGATGCTTCAGTGCAGCCAAGGAACAACTTCGGAGCACCTTGGCGGTGGAACCGAGACAAACAAGGCTCGCGGCTGAGACGACATCATCTTCAAAGCAAGAAGAAGAACGCGAAGAAAACGTGACAGGCGCAAGGGCGGCGTATTCGCCGTGGGCCCAAAACAACATCTTCCCTGTAGAAATGGATGCACCCATGACAAAGATCAAACATCGCGCTAAGCCAAACCAAGGCACCCTTCACTTCTTGCACCATCCGTTCGGTGTCCTGCCGAGGATTTCGTGGGGGGGCCAGTCGAGTCATCAAGTCATCCACTTGGAGCTGTTGGACCCTGAAAACCTTGGTGAAGAACAATGTCTTTGAAAACCGGAGTCACAATCCAGGTTGTTTGGAGGAAGTCGAGGTGCCTCTGAGCCACACCCCAGCATGTGACTCCTGGTTGATTTTTCTCTTGCTTTCCCAAGCGTCCAAAGTCCAATCAAAGGATTCAGCCAACGGGCATCCGATCTGTCCTCCACTTCCTCGCTTCGGCATCTGTTCGTCCCTCACTCAAGACCCCCGCACGCACCCGAGCCGCCGAGCCATCGTCCGTCTCGCCAGTCTCATCGGTCCGTCTCTCCCGGGCTCCTCCTGCGCTTCTTCCAGCTTCCTCTTGACCCCTGCAGCCCGAGTCGAACCCGCGGCGTGACAGACGCCGCGAGCCAAGTCGGCGCGACAGACGGCGTGTCGGGGTCGACTTCAGGGTGGTCGTCTGGAGGGCCAAAGGACCCCCGGAGAAACCGTCTCGACCTCGCATCGAGCCCCCGAGAAACGGTCGATGCGAAGGGTGGAGAAAACCCCGAGAGGCGCGGCGCTGGGTGGGCGCGGCGCTGGGTGGGGCCCCTTTCTGGACGTTCCCGTCGCTTACGGGATCGACTGCTTAAGGGTACCGGGTAGCAGTGACCCAAGCCCAAGCCCCACCGGCCTGTCTTCAGCCACTCAGCAGTCTTCGCAGGGCCTGGGGGAAGGCACCGTTTGTTTGGGGCGTGAGAATTCAACCTCCAAAATCAATTCCAAAGATTGTGTACAAAGTGCAGTTTCTGTAATAGGTTATAGGACGACTCGACGACTCATGTGGGCGACTCTCAATCCTTCCTGCGGTGCCCGACTCGCCACGCAACAAACAGCTACGGAACACGTGCGCCGGTTGACCGGTGGCGGCGGTCAAAAGGATTGCGTAAGCCGCCGGTGGCGGGGCAGCTGAAAGGAATTGGCGATGCTGGTGGTGATGTTGTTTAATTTGGTTGCATTGTTGCTCCAGCACTGAAGAATAAGATGAATAAGTAAATGAAAAGAGGGAAGGACAGCGTCGAAGACGAAAAGGCAGGAGAGCTTGCCAAGGCTTTCTGCAAACCAATCACCGAACAACTGCAGGCTTGAGCTGTCCACCCCATTCTCCTCGTCAAGCGAGAACACTTAGTAGCTTCATGTCCCTTGCTCACCTCCCCATTGTGCGCAGCAAGTGTTCTTTGGTACGAGAGATGGTGCTGAGACCCTGATCTCGCTTCTTATCTCACCCGTCCAAGCTTCCCTCACACGACAAATTGGCCATTAGAGCCCAAGCAGTCGAGTGACTCATTTTCAAACTTCGAACAAGCGATTGAAAGGTCAAACGTCCGAGATTCTCAACGAAATCTCTGCAACCGCCAGGCATTGCTGTTGCTGGTCGAGTCGCCCATTCCTGTGCGATCTGTTTGCACTTCGCATAGGCGTCCAGTCCTTTCAAAAGGACCTTCCGTCCGAGCGATGAGTTTGATGCCTCTGCTGGCGGCATCCGGAAGACAACTACCAGTGCACTCAGATTGTCTGTGCTTTTCAACTTCTGGGCTTGGTTCACGAGCGATTCAGCCGCAGCTTGCGGGGATCGTGTTCCTGAGCTTTCAACGGATGAAGAAGAAATGGATCACAACAACTCAGGAGAAGCGAAAACAAAGGATGCCATTCAATTCAATCAATCATTGAGGGACGGAAACGATGAAATCAGCAAAATTCAACACGTGCTCTGCAAAAACCAAGGTTTCTCCGCAACTGTCGTCTGATCGACTGGACAGCGTCCAAGTTTGTCATGCTCTCGAAGATGAACTCCGTGTCGGCATCTACCGAGAAGATGGTGACCTCTGGTTCCGATAATAGTCCTGGATATTGTGTCCATGTTGAGCGTGTGAAATCTCCCAAGGCGCGGCTCACTGAGAGGCCACCTATCAGGTAGCCATCAGATGTGGTTTGGATCCCTTGCATGGTCAGGCGTTCTTTTTCGCATGGCCATCACGGTCAAGGATCCTCCTTTGTAGGCCAAGGCTCGGCAGTCTCCGAGGTTGGCCACAGCGAGCTCGTGTTCATCTCGCACAGCGATGCAGGCACATACGCCCGAGGATAGGGGATAGTCCGGGACGTCTGCTTCATCTTGCTGCAGGTGGCCCAACAACGCTGCATCAGCCTTTTGAAAGGCTTCTTTCATTCTGAGGCCCATATCTGGCCCCTTTTCCTTTCCCAATAGCTTTGGGAATGCTTCTTTCACATAGGTCACGACGGCTTCAGCTCCGCCGTGGCCGTCGTAAACTGCGAAGAAGTTGTCTTGCACGTCAACGGCATCTTCCATGGCTCCGCGGCCATTTTGCATGACGCACCAGCCATGCTGGTCGTCTCCATGGGCACACCCCTCCAATGGCTCAGCAAAAGGGCGTTAAGATCCTCGTTGGGACCTGAGGGCCCTTTCCGTTTGATCCGACCTTACGACAGCAACCCCCTTCTGAACCACATGCTTCTTTGGATCTTGCTTGACTGCTTTGCCTAAGTTTCGGGGCGGGAAGGCGGCCGTCGCGGAAGCGATGCGAGGAACTCCCTCGTCCTGTTCCGCCAAAAAGGGTCAGCTGATGACATTGCGGGGGGGGGGCCACAAGCTTGCGAGCACACACTGAAATTGGCAGAATCGGTCGCCAAAACAATGAGTCCGCGCCGTGTGCATGGAGCAGGAAGGTAGACAAATCAGTGTCCTCCCCGGTCCTCCCCTTCCAGGAGGTTCCAATGTTCACGAGAGCGCTTTGAGCGGGAGACCCCCTCAAGGTTGAGGGGTTCTGGTCTGACTGCTTTCTTCACCACAAAATCATCGGAATTCTCTTCAACTTTCAAATAGGACGTTCATCCCCAAGTAGGACCCGGTGAAGCTCTCCTAACGCCCTTCAGAGCAGTGGCAAGACGTCCAAAGACGACCGAAAAGGCCCAAAGAAACAACTCACAACATCTCACAACTCAGAACCCCTCCCCCCGACTCCGAGGACTCTTCACCGAGGCTACCGCTGGCTTTGAGATCTTCCTTGGCCTGACCAATTCGTTGGAGAAGGTGGGATGGTTTCGTTCGGTGGAGGAATCTCAGTAAACCTCTGCTCACGGCCGTCGAGAAACTCCAGCCAAACCAAAAGGCAAACACACTCGGCTGCCGCGTTCATGGCCAGTTCACATCGCTCTCCTTTTTCGTTGTTGCACAAAACACGCAGCCGCAGTGCTGCGCTTGGGTCGGGCTGTTCACCAGTTTCTTGTGATCTGGCCCCGGCATGCCAAAAGCTCAAGGACTCGGCAGAGCCTTCGGCTGACGTGCTTTTGACGGTTGCTCAGCATGTGCGTTCGAGAAGTTCTGTATAGATGATCATTGCTCCGTCCCTTGAATGTCAAGAAAAATTAATCTGAATTATCCCTGGCCTCTTCAGGCAGGGCAGGGCGAGGCCTCCTCGCCCCCGTATACTGTACCACTCCGAATTCAAGGTGTTCAGATGCAAGCCTCAGGTTCCCGTGGCGTGTTCGTCACCGAACCCGGAGCGGGCCCGCCTCGCGGAGGCGGTTGGTTCCCCCCGCCCCGAGGCTGTTCCACCTCGCACCCCGAAGAAAAGTCGCTCTGGAAGGGTCGGACCAGTCCCCAGGAGGGAGGTATCATGGACGAAACGCACATACTCGAGATATCTCTCTGACTCTTGGATCCCAATTTCTGCACAGAGACGAGAAAGGGTCACCACCCAACATCATCCAAAATCCCTCGTTTGGAAAAAAGAAAAGGTTCTCAGAGGTGCGCCGCATCAGTGGGGGTGGGGGGAAGTCTTGGGTCGACGGGGGCCTGCAAAGGGCCAAAAGCGATTCGCCAGCTCCCAAATTGTTTCCTCCAAGCCAGCGAGGTAGCTCTTTTGTCCAGACCCCGAACCCAAGCCAGTGCAGCTCGAGAAGCTGATCCCCCCAAACACTGCGACGTGAAGATATTCCCGTCCAGGGTGTTTCTCCTGGTGGCTGGTCACATGTCGTTCCTTCGCTTCATGCAGTCTTTGGCCAGCCTGGATTTTGACCCACTTGAAACATCCTATCTTCCTTCCAAGGGTGAACCATGCTGGGAACGGGCCGGTGGCAGTGGATTCGTTGCTTGTGCTCCTTTGGGGCACCAAGCGGGGGTAGGACCGCACAACAAAGACATGGAGGAAAAGCACCACCTCGCTGAACAGAGCTTCGGCAACCCATCCACAGATAGATGGGATTTGTGTATTTTCTAGGACTCCAAAGGACATGACAGTCATAGTCGAGCAAACCTAGACCATGCTGGGATTTGAGAGACCATGCCAGGGTATTTCCCCAAAGAACGGAATGGCCGACGACCCCGAGGTGTTCGATGACGAACCCGCATGGCCGAGTCGATGAAGTCACAGGTCGCTCCGGGGTGTGCGTGCCTCGTCCCACTGTGGATGGGATGGGATGTGACTAGTCCAACGACCCGCCCTGGAGCGATTCGGTGTGACACCATGTGTCCATCCACACCCCCCTGTGAGTCGAAGATGGAGCCAGGGCCGACGTCGCAGCTAGCAGCTCCTGAGCAGCTCTGCTCCTTCAGTGATCCGACGAGTGGTGTGCTTGTAGCCGTCCTGGAGGTGGGGGAGGTGGGGGGCGGCGAGGACCAAGAGTCACCCGGAAGCTTCGTCAGCTTGCGAGGTCCCGAAAGGGGATCCCTCAAGCTCCCAAGCGGGGCCTACCCTAAAGTCAGAGGGGCTCGAGTGGAAGAGAGGCCTCGAAAAGGGAAGACAGGTATGTAAGGTATCCGAGGCAACAGGCTGGGTCTGTGAAAACTAAAGCACAAAGCAAAAGCAACCCGTGGGCCAGCTGCGTTCAGGTATTGCTGGTCCACCGCAGCTTCGCCCATCTGGGACTTCCCCAATCAGGGCAGAGCAGGGAGGCACATGACCCGATGAGGCAGTGTCGTGTGACCCGATGATGCATTCCTGGGTTGAGGGGATCAGCCAAGGCTGCACGAGTCGTTCAACAAATGTTCTAGTTCTGGCGTATCCCTCGAAAGAAAGATTCGATGTGTCCTAGAATATGCAAGGACGGATACTGTCCCTCGATTCTATGGGAGATCGTATATACAGAAGAGAGAGAGAGAGAGACCCAGTCGGCACCGGCAGCCCCTAACGCAAAAAGAAGAAAAATCTCAGGCTCTCGCCTTGATCTGCAGCAGTAGCGCCGCATCTTCCTCTGCGGGGTTCATTATCGGAGCGGCGGGCAACTCCTGAGACGACAGGCAAAAAGCACATGGTTTTTTCCACACGGATGCGATGTTCTGTGCATGCGAACAGGCCCAGCATTTTGGGCCATGGTCTGTTGTCCATCATCTTCCAGTCAATTTCAGTCGGTCTCACCCCTGGTGTCATCCTTCAGCCGATGGAACTGAAGCGATCGATCTGAAGGGTGCGGCCTGGCCGTTCGGCGATTCCGACCGACATCTCCTTGTCATCCTCCAGGGTTTCCAAGAGCATCTTGTACAGGGTCGCCTTGGCCTCATAAGCCTCGAGTCGTCGAAGCGCCCAATGGTCCGAACAAGATTTCGGGGTTGGGGGGATGAGCTAGGCCCCGATAGGCCCCAGGACCTCTGGTGACCTCCTAGGAAGAAAACTTCCCAGGACAGGGGCCCACGACTGCCCGGGAACCCAAACGTCAACCCCCAGCGCCCCGCTCCCTCGGGCACGACGCGTTCAAAGACCTCGGCCAGCTCATGGAAATTCTGCGCCCCGGTCCACCGCATACCTGCCCCGGTCTGCGGAAGCACACGAGGCTCACGGCCGTGATGGCTGGGGAGAGACAAAACCGACCGGGGGCCCGGATTGAGAATGGCAGGCCAGGCACTCATGGAAAACTGGTATGATTGGATTGCTTTCCAGCACTCCATGAGGATCTTCAGGCATTGGGGCATGGGCCGTCGGAGCTACTGCCACGGATGTGTTCTGCCAGCGCCAGGGCCCGGCCGATCGGATTGGGAGAGATGCCCCGATCCCCATGCCCCGCCACGATGGAGGCCAGCCGCGATCCGCTCGGATGGACGCCATCGAAGCGTGAAGAGGGTCGACCCTCCATCGACGGCATCATCCGGGCGTCCCAACCATGCGTCACCCCACATCAATGGAATCTGCTACATATACCCTGCAAGTGGACTAGGACGGACCTCAGTCACTGGAGAAACAAAATGAGCAAGAAAGTACTTCTCATGACTTCCTTGGACTGGATCCGGGGATGTCCTTTTGGTATGTCAAACAGAATGTGTCTCAAAAGTCTCGCATTTCACGGCCAAGTTCTTTTCTTCACTTCCCGTTGTAGACCAGAATCCGAACCAGAGTGCCTTCGCGCGTTTTTGCTGCACAAGTGCACCAACCGACCCTTGCTACATCTTGCTCCCATGACTCCTCATGAATCCTCATAAACCAAACAAAAATCCCTCCAAAGTCCCATAACTCGAGCTCAATAACCAAAACAAAACAACCCAAAGGTCGAAGGACAACAATTGGCGAAACCGTGCTAAATCCAGAAGAGCCCCGGTTCTTTTTCTTATTGTTTAAATCCCTTGAAACTCCAACCACATCTTGAGGAGCTAGGAAGAAAAAAGAAAACAAAACCCACACACCGCATGCACGCACCTGAGTAGCACCTTAACACCTTTTTCGAAATAAACGCAGGTCAATCGACCGACCCCCACCCCAGTCTGGGTCTAAAGGCACGTCCAACCTCTGCCCTTCTCCGCCGTTTCTCGCCTTCCGGCAAGTTCTCTGCACCTTCGTGGGCTGCACGGAGATAGCGTGCCGTCTCCTGGTGACGGCAGTTCGGCAAGTTGCGGCCGGGTCGGGGGCACATCCCCGAGGGCACAACACTCGTTTTGGGAGGTACCCCAAAGATTTGGGATGATTTGGGTGACCTGGAACTTAAGTGACCTCTACTTTGAACACTCCTAGGTCCTAGAACTCATAAGAGGCTATTTATAGACACCTCTTAGAAGGTCCTGGTTACCCAATCTTTTTGGGGCTCCAAACCGCCCAACGAACCAGCCGCTCGCCGCACACGTCCGGCACAAGGCTCACTCCTCCAAGGATTCCTTCGCCACCCTCGCCCGCACCAGCATGTCCTCGGTCTGATGAATCGCCACCTGCGGTGAACGCCACGAACATCCGGCACGCGGAACTCATCTGCAGGATCTTCTGAACCATCAACTGTTGAACCTCGTGAGTTCAAAAGAAGGGAGCTGGGAGAGTCTGCAAGATTGAAAAAGAAATACAGTAGATCAACAAGGGCTGCGAAGGACCGAATATGAATACAGAAAGGAGCGCTCTCAGAGGGCGCGTTGGTCAGCAACTTGTTCAAATCGGCGACCGTTTTGTCAGTGTCCCTTCACAACTTGTGTGAGGTGGACTTTGCATCCCCATGGTCTGTGCGGCTTGTGTGTGTGTACCCCTTGGAGTCACAGGGGTCCAGTTGGATTTGTTGCAGGGGGCACAGGCCCATCGTGGATACCTGTGCCAACGAAGCTGCTCCACGATTGGGGAAGCGGAGATTGATCACCTCCGTGTACCTGCTTTGAACACATTGACTCCAGTGGTCTCCCTCGCTCAGGCTGTTTTGCAGGCCCATCAGGTGATGTAAAGTGCTAATGAGTTCCGCAGACTTGCACGGAACGTCGTCAACCTGTCGCCGTTGTTC